TATTTCTATATATATATATATATATATATATATATATATATATATATATATATATATATATATATATATTCAACATAGCGATCAATGCAATGCAAAACATAAACAAATGCTCATTTGTGGAAACTAAGCAGATGCCCTTTCCTGAATCATATAAATACTTGCAAAAGGCGATGCATTGTCTTTCCTGACTTTTTGTAGGCGCGCATAAAGTCATGCATAGAAATTTGTGTCCCGAAATAAGAGATCGAATAGTTAGACAGTGGCAGTCTGGAAATCAATAGCAGATATTGCTGCTGATATTCCTTGCTCTACAAAAACAGTTCGTAGATGGATACAGCGATTTACTGCAGGCGGTGATCATGCATTGCATGATCATCACAAGCAAAATCGCCGACCACGACTGACGACACAGCAACAAGACGAAGACATTATTGCTTCTGTACAGCAACGACCTTTTGGCACTGTTGCAGAAGCTTTCCATACTATGGACATACAGATATCGGACAGAACCACAAAACGACGACTAAATAAAGCCGGATATCGTTGTTATCGTCCAACCCATAAAATTCCGTTGACTCTTGAATATCGGGAGCAACGTGTCGCATTTTCTTCGGAAAACCTGACGACAAGCCGTGAGGAGTGGGAGATCACGATCTGGATCCGTCACGACCGTCAACTTCATGTATGGCGATTAAGTGATCAAAGGTTGCATCCGAATCATGTTGTGCCTATCCACAGAAGTGGGAGGATTTCGTATGCAATGTGGGGCTGGGTTTCCGGTAACGCTTTCGGTGAATTGGTCGACAAGACCAATCCCTACAAGAATAAATTCCACGGAATATATTCGCATAATAGAAGCAATTCTCCTTCTATCAGTGCGAGCAATGTATCCCGTGGAGAAAATACCAATTATCCGATTAGTGCAGTATAATTCCGCTATCTATACATCACGCAAAACACAAACATGATTTCGGAATCATCCCGAGATCCACTTAATCAAGTGGCTTACTCATTCGCCAAATCTAAATTTGATCGGAAATGTTTGGGCACAAATGGTTCAACGCTGGGAACCAAGAAGGGAAAGAACGGTAGCAACGTTAATCGATCATGCGAGAGAAGTCTGGAAAGAACTTCGGTTTCGACCCGAACTTTCTCGCGAACTTGATTGACTCGATACCTAATCGACTCAATCAAGTTATCGACCGTGCCGGATATCGACTATTGACTGAATCGACCTCAATTTTTTCGGCACAAAAATCGGCTCTTTTCAGGGCCACCAAATTTTATAATGATGGAACGATACTCGAACGCGTAAAATATGAAATATGTACCAATTATATATCACGTGTTTATGCAACATTAAAATTAAGAATATTCTACTTCGACAACCTATACAAGCGCTGTATTGTTACATGTATTTTATATTGATTGAGAATAAATCTAATATTTATTTTTTTTTCAAGAGCAGCTCCTAAAAGTACTTGTCGAAGCCTCCAGAAAACCTTTCTCTTTTTACATTACAGTAATTTCCTTGCTAACAAAAAAAAATGTATGGACGTTCGAGCGAGCGAAATAGTCCTCGGGACACCGCATATTTCTCACGTATAGACGAGACAGTGTAAGTTGAGCGTTTTCTTAGTGTGCGTCATACGTATTTTAGAACAACATTTCTGACGACTACGTCTCATAATGCTATCTCTTTTGCTTTTACATCTGCGATAGAGGATGGAAGATAGCCGCGACTCCACCTACACGCTTACCGACAACTGTCGGATCGGTAGACGTCGTTGCGCAGCTTTTTTATACCATAGTACTATATATCGATGAGCGTAACCAATCAAATGATTGTTTTAAATGCAGTGTGAAGTTGCGCATTTGAAGCAGTTGAAATTCGAATGCACTATTAATACAAATGTAAAAAAAAAGTTATAAAAGTTTGAAAAAACACAACACAAACTTAAAAATAATAAAAACAATAAAAAAGCACGTAAATAAAAATATGTAATACAAAATGAAATAATAGAATTATTAATACTGATATAATAAGTTAGACTGAAATATATATAATATATTTCAGTCTAACTTATATCTAATATATATATACAATATATTTTATCTTATTTTAACTTATTGCATTAGTGCAATAGTGCAACCGAAAAAAACATTTGTTATATTACAAAGTAACAGTTACATAATATACTATGTGATTGAGCTGACATTGTAATATGGATGATACTTTGTGTTTACTGGGTTTTAACTTAATTCTAAGCTGTTCGTGTTATTTTATATCTCGTTCTCTTTATATTCTGACTTGAAACACTACTATAAAATATTTATCCTTTATTTAACAATTTGACTAAATTTCTGCATACACACAAATTGATATATGTTGAAATAACTATAATCTCCAACTTTTGTACTGAGTGTTTTACATATTAGCATGACGCAATAACCTATATCGTATAATCTGCGCATAGATGAAAAATTGTTGCATACATCTAAAAATTATTGCAGGTGATACAGTATTTTATATAATTACAAAGTTACAATACCACAGTGGCAATTAGAAAAGAACTTCAGGAAATTTAATGTTATTGCTTCCTTATATATGATACAGAAATCTGTATCAATAAATGTTAATTATTCTCGAATACGATGTGATGTCGTACATTTTATAGAACAATGTTTAAGAATGATATCGCTGATAATTAAAACTTGAATGAATATTGAGGTTTAGCATAATAATTATCTAATGCAGGAATATATATTGCTTAATTTATATCTCAACATTCATTGCAACGATTCATATATGTTTGCAGCTTACTCAGACAGCACAAGATCTCCTGAGGACGTTCTAAAGACATCCTGAGGATAAAGAAATATCCTCAGGATTTCCTCAGGATGTACTCTGGATGTCCCCTGGACATCTATGCTGTTAGGGTAAATATTTAAAACAGAACATTTTCAAAACGAAGAGCTTATTAAATTATGGAATATACAATAAAGGTGGTCAAAGAATGTCTCCTTGGTAAATTTTGTCTTGATCTTTCGAAATACGTTGACTATCAACATTATCATCTTAAGAAGACTTAAAAAAATCAGTCAGTATTTAGAATGATACTGAGGATACCAGGAATTCAAAATGTTTGCGCGCAATTCAAGAATTTTTAATAATATTTAAACTTGAGACGAAGTACTAATTGTTGCGGGAAATTTACAGTTCGAATACCATAAAAAATTCGTAATTATAGCAAACATTTTGGAAACTTGGATATTTTTGGGCATACGTTGGATTTTTTTTAACGTATACGTTAACGGTATTGATTTCAAAAAAGATAAAAACAAAAACCAAGAGAGTATAGAGAATAAATTGCATAAATGTATCCATATAAAAATCAACCTTATTAGAGGTTACTGCGAGGGGTTTATCGTTATTGTTATTCTCTTAAGTGTTTTAACAAAATTGTTTCTTAAAAAAAAATTTCAATTTTTCTATATGAAATAAATGTACTGGAAGCAATAATAGAGAGAAAATTAGATTGATTGATAAAAATTACGTCAGAGCTCTACAATTCATTTTAACTTTGATAAATACGACAAACCCCTGCTATACATATTTTACACCTTTATCATTAAATAATTAACAAAAACATGTACACATACAATAAGTCACTATATAACTTAGTTATCTTAAAAATATTTCTTATACATTTTATTTTTATGTTTTCGAATAGTTTATTTAAGTATCTTAAAAATATTTTACAAATAATACAAGCTATAAAAAACGGATATAAGTTACACATAAGGACATATGTATGATGACAATTTCTATGTAAATAGAAATTTTCTTCAAAGATATCTTAATTTTTTTACTATTTTTATATAAATATCTCGTCATTTTTTGTAAGCAAATGCTACATTAAGATTATTCAAACACGAGTCTTGTAATATTTCATATTTTATACAAGAAAATATGTGTCGAGATATAAAATATGAGATACCTGCTTGTATACCTAATATGTAAACTTACAAAAAGAATCGATTTATATAAAAAAGAATGTCATATATAGAAAAAAAAGTATGATTTTCATTAATAAAAAGAAGATAGAAGGAAATAACTTTCATATTTTTATACTCTTCTCCATCAAATAAAAATCATTATCACCATACACTGTATCTTTTTACATCACACATTATCCTGTTAGAACAGTTTTTTGTGCATTATTTTAATGATACTTAAGATACTAATTTATAGTGACTTATGTTCTGTTTTATGATAGATTATAATTACATAATTAAATGTAGGATTACTTCTAAGTATAATAATATTTCTCAGTCTCCTTTATACGTACTTACATATGTATTTGTATGCACGCGCGCACCTATCAATTATTTATATAGAAACAACGGAAGCGAGATTTTTTTATAATTTTTCTTCCTAATATATCATTTCATCTGCATAGTAATAAGTTTCATATGTGCTAATAATTCTACATAAAGTGCCAATTATCCAGGTATTCGCCTTATATCAGAGAAAACACATTTGGTATGCTGGAATAATTAAAAAAAAATTATCGTAACCGGTATCAGTCGACGGACAAATATGGCACACATGGTTGTTGTTAAAGCGGGTATAATTTTTTATATTATATATATAGTTCTTCTAGTAATATTTTATATATATATATATATATATATATATATATACACATATATATATAGGCCTCTAATTTGCTAAGGAAATATTTTTTTTGAGTGGATGCTTCGTTAACAAAATATAAAGAAATTAAAACTTTTGGAAGTTTTAAATAGATTCAATGTGATGGAAGTAATACAAAATAATATTGCAGGAAAGCAATTTCATGAATATTATTTAAATAGGTGAATATAGTATTATATGTATAATAGTTTATCTATAATTTCTTAATCTGCCTAAATTTAATTTAGGTTATATTCAACATTTTTTAACACTTTTTTCTTGATGAGACTTGGAACATATCAATGTTCCAATAATAGAACTTAACTTTTTAAAATTAAATAAAAACAAGTTCTTTTATTGGGTTATTTTAATTATGTTCCAAACTACTATTGAAAGAAGTATTCAAACCATATTGAAATAGTATGTTAAATTAATGGAAAACAAAGAAAACTCGCAATTCCGGTTACAATTATTCTTTTCTTATTCACTTCCTATGTGTGTGCAGTGACAATCAGCAGTCAAGCGTGACGTGTAACAGCAGCGTACAGAGTAATATTGCAATTATGAATTCAGCACACAAATCGAAAAGCGTCAAGATTCGTAAATTCAGCCACAACTCTTTGTTGAATCAAGCCCAAGGATGAGCCAAGGCACCTTGAGAGGAAGATTGCACAGTTTTAATGCCGCGAGCCTGAATTTTGACAAAATTCAAGTCACATCAAAGAGACTTGAATTGGTTGTTTTGAAAAAAATTCTGAGAAAAGATCGAGTAAAAAAAGTGTCAAACTTCAAAAGAATGCACGAGAAGATGTTTGCCAAGTCTGAATCGGTTCGTGGACGCAAAGAAGTGTTTGGAAAGCAGATCTGGAATTTGTGACAAAGAAATTCTTTCCAAGGTAGATGCAAAGAAAGGCGAAACTATTGCCCAATGACACCAACGACACGTACAACAGATTCGGGTTCAAGTTGAGGAAGGCAGAAGCTACCCATGTCATATTGAAAAAACAAACTGTTTCCTCGAGACAGAAGCAATATGAAATGCGGACGATGCTGAAGAGCGTACGGACGAATCGGTGTTTTGAATTGCAAATGAAGGCTCGCAATATAAACCTGATATAGAGCGCGGCAATGATGAATTATTATAGGAAGCGTACTCATTCTTTCTCTCGAATCGCCAAGATATTTTGTCTTTTCTTTTACATTTGTACTAATTGAAAAACTAAAGACTGTTGTATAATCAGCATTTCCCGTGCTTTGATCTGCCTCAAGTTCAATGACATAGCAGTATAATATCGTGAGCAACTGTGCGCTACTCTAGTGCTACTTCTGTTTTAAGGAGGAAATAATTATTTGATTTTTTCCATGCACACACAGAAGTAAATTGTATAATGTTTGCTCGTAAGATAATGTGGAAAAATTCATTCTTATGATATACATTTGTATAGATTCATGTTGGCGATGACTATGCTTTCAAAAAAAAGCTTTTGCTCAAGTATGAACAATCCATAAAGAAAAAAATAGCAGATTTAATATATTAAATTGTTTGCTGAAAAAAAAGTTGAGATACATTTGGAATCATAGATATCATTGTGATTTGTGAGTGTGTGTGCGTAGTATTTTACTGTATATTATTTATAAAATAACTGTCTCTATAAATCAGGTTTCCATCACTAAATAATATGACATCGATTAAAGCGAAATATGTCCCACTGTAGTCTTAAATTTAAATTAGAAACTAAAGGCACTTGTGCTACAATATACATTTTCCAACCATATGCATCCCTGAGTTATATCGGGGCTTCACGACGCAATTCGTATTCTCGCTAATAATCGCATAAAAATAAATAATTTATAATTACTCGGTACACGGACACAATAATGCATAAATTAAACTTATCATACCCGTAATAGCTACTTGAACATCACATTGAAGTAGTTTCCATGTTGAAGCCACTCAAAATGAGACACCGTTCTTGCAGGCGCTTTATGTGTTCCGTGAGGCACGCATTTTCTATATATAAATCCTTCACTAGTATGTCAGCACTGACTAATCTGTCGGCCTGTTGAACAAACCATACAACCGTAAGTAAAATACAATTATTATATGTGCGCGTATACATATGTATTTCATAACGTACCTGATCAACGGTTGTTTGAACTTGCACTTGAAGCTTTTCCTGGGTATTGCGAAGAAGGCACTGTAACTCAAACAATTCTGTCTGATGCTGTGTCATAATACCTGCAACAACAAAATCACAGTGGCCGTCTTTTGAAATAGTTATAAAGAATAACAAATAAGAGACAAAGAGAAACATAACATTTGTCAAGCATCAAGGATTAATATTTCATGGAATTATTTAATTGTAATATCTTAAAATATGTGAAAAAACTTACGTTGTAAGACTTTCTCAACTTGTTGCTGTTGCCGTTTGAAGTAATGCTGCAACTGCCGCTTCTTGCGTTCTTGTGCGTAAAGTTTCATATTCAGGTTCTGCAAAACGTTCGGATCGATGCAACACATGCGTTGTTGCGTATTGTTCTGTACGCAATGGCAGCTGACTCCGTTCAAACTTTGCATCAGTACATCCTGCATCCATGTGAAGTCCGGATCACGCTTATCCCCCTCCTTCACTTTAGTACCAACATGTGAACCCTTTTGGTACATTTGATTTTTCTTATCCTTATGCGTAGCTTTCATCTCTTTCGTGGAACTTTCGTCGCGCAAAATGTTGAAATTATAACCGTCGGTTTGATCTTCTGGTTTTATTAGCCTGCTAGAATCATTGGACGACGGGTGTTCCGAGGTATAACATGTTTGATTGTTTGCATCGGATGTTTGTAGATCCACTAAATTCTCGACCGGCTCAGTCATCGACGGAATGCTAGACGCACTAGAGGACTTGCAATGTGACAGATTTGATAGCGTCCGTAAAGAGATCTCATCTGGCACTTGCACCCAGGAATCATTTGTGACCATCTGCTCCGCCAATCTTAATTTTTCACGCAGATCCCCTATTTCCACATTCCTCTGGGAGATCTCATTTTCAGCCTTTACCTTCCATTTCTCAAATTCTTCTTCAAGATCTACATACTGCAACATTACAGACACACCATATTAAAGGTACGCCAAAAAACAATTGTTTAAAAGAAATTTTCTTCTCTTCTATAAATATTAAATATTCATACAAAATGAAAAAATATTTTATCTTACCTGTTGCTCCAAGTTAAACTTCTCATCTATCGGGGATAATCGCCCGTTAGTTTTCGATTTATCTAGAGGGCTAATTAATTCTTCGTATTCTGCTATCTTATTAATAAGCTCAGCAAGCTTGTCATCGCTGATCTTTTGTTCCTGCTCAAAGAGTTGTCTTTCCTCCTCCAATTTAGCGGCCCAATAATCTTCGCATTCTTCATACTCGGCTTTTAGCAGCTCTAGACTACGCTCAAGTTCCGAGCAGCGTTCTGTCAACTGCTTCTTCTCTGTCATATGCTTTACCTCGAGTTCTTGCAGCCCAGCGTTTGCCGAAACACTCTTTGAAATACTTTCGATCTCGATGATGTTCGAGGAAATATCCTTATTAGTTCTGCATTGTTCCGCGGGGTGTTCTTCTTTCCGCGGTGGGTAATCTCTGAGGCTTGTTGTCTTGTTTTGCGTTACACTCTTTACATCTTGATCAGTGAAGTCGTCGAGATCTTCCGCGCTGTTAGACATCGTTGTACGCTTCGTTGGGAGCGATTTCGGTGCTTTGGTAACGACTAGATCCCGCAGTGACTCGTGGACTCGTTCCTCACACTCCATCTCGAGCTCAGACGCCAAACTCTTGCCAAAATCCCGCGTGGAACAGTGTAACGGAAGATTCGATTGTAAGTTGTTGATCAGCCTCGCTACACCGTCGCTCAACGCGCATTTCTCCGAGGCGCACTTCGTGCTCGTCAATAACACATTCTCCAAATCTTTTACAATCCTATCTTGCAACTTCTCGACATCCATGATACTAGAATTTGACGCGTCGAGCTGTCCTTCGTCTGATGGGAACTTGAACCCAAACGGAACTCTCGCATCAGCTTGTCGGACTTCTTGGAACGACTGTGTCGTCGTTATATGATTCTCGTCTGGAGTCTCATCCAATTGCAGATCGTACGCTAAAGACGACGGTGCCTCGTCCTGTCTCGTCTCGTTGCCGTGGCATTTGAAAATCTCCAGTTCCGCATTGAGCTCGTCATTTTGGTCTCGCAGGAGAGTTGCTTCCGACTGCAATTGCTTGATCCTATCGACGAAAAACTCTACTTGCTCCTGCTGCTTCGCCTCTAAGTTCTGTATCTCATCATGCTCCGCGTCTAACATCTTCATGCGTGTTAACAAATCGTTGTTAGATTGCCTCAGCTTCTCAATCTGGCTTAGGAAAGTGCTGTTCTCCGCTTCGAGCATTTGATTGTCTTGCAATGTGTTGATCAATTTATTCTTCATGTCGTGATTCTCCCTTTGTAATAGCTGTAGCTGATCGTCTTTTGATTTTAAGGCTGCAGCGTCTATCTCTCGTTCGATATTAAGCTGATTTGACAATTCCTTCGTGATTTCGGCATAACGTTGCTGACTCTGTTTCTGCAGACTTTCCTTAGTCTTCTCCAGTTGTGTCTGATGCTCGTCGATCTCCTGTGCCAACAAATTTGCCCGTTCATTAGCTTCCAACATGTCCATACGCATTTTCTCTTTCTCCGCTTTCATATTCTCGATCAAGACGCTCAGATTGCGTTGCTCGTTTTGGTAAAGCGTAAGCATTTCTCGTAACAAGCTGATGTGAGACTGAATAGTGTCGTCGTCTAATGATTCGTTCAGACTTTTCAGTTCGTCGCATATGATATTCGTTACCTCCACGAGACTGGTATCCAAAACACTAAGATCTCTGCTGGGCAAGATCGTTGAGACGCGAGAAACGCCAGCGACTTCCTCCTTATCTGTGCTCTTGTTAGACTGTACAGAATCAGTCCTATGGGGCTCGTATAGATTAAAATCTAATGTATTTACACTACAGTTTACAATGCTACTATGAGATTCGCTATGTTCCCTTAAAGCTTCTGTTCTCCTCCTTTTTTGGAATATAATTACAAATTCGTCGAAGCTAATTAACCCGTCGCAGTTCTGGTCGAGCCTCTCAAAGATAAATTCGGTCATCTGTCTCGGAAGCTCAGGAATCCCCGCACAGCTCAGTATGAACTGTATTGCTGTAGAATCTGTATAGTCCCGCAGATAAATCTTGATCTTCTCCCAGAAGCGTATCAATTTGCTCTCATCCATTGTGACTCCGGTCTCCATTTCCTGAAGATGAACTTTTGATACGTTATTAACTGACGTCGTGAGCTCGCTCTCTTTGATATCGACATTACATGTATTCAAATTATAATGAGGTTGTACAATGCACTGCCTATCCGTGATCAATCCTTGGAATTTCTTCAACAGAACAAGCAAACCATCCCGGAATTCCTGAAAGGATATAGTCTGCTTGTCTGCATGTTTGCAAATGCAGGATTTTAATTCCTCAGTCAATCCATCGAGATGTAACTTGCTGCATATAGAAGACAGATTGCTCTCTTCAAGTTCATTCTTGCCTTTTGCCAAACAACTTTCAAACACGGCGTAAAGTTGTTGCTCATAAAGATCGCTGTTGTGCTCACCCATGCCTTCTTGTCATGGTTTTTCTAACAAGCTCAGCTTAATATCTATATTTGATGCACCTGTAAGACCAGTAATAGCATATTACATTGTGTTGAAAAAGCAGCCATTAAATGATCAGTGACATGTATATGTACGCATGAGTGAAACAAAGATTTAGTTGAATAATAGCTTTATGATCATTGATATACACGTGCAACATATCTATGCAAGAGTCATATATAATACAACGTCGTAAAGGTCAATCAATTGTTGTCATAGATCGTCACATAACCTACTTACGAGCACAACTGAAGTTAGAACACGTATGCATACATCTCGAAGGCAATTCTTTTTCAGTTTCTGACACGGATGGAAGTCGTCGCGACAAACATTACCGATCACTAGCCAATTGCTGTCCTCGAATCTCGTTTTTACACAAATATCGTGCTTTATTTGATAGTAGGACGCCACTACAAATCAAAGCAGTACTGGGTCATACTCGTGCGATGAATCGATATTCGATTCTTACATACTCATTTCTCACAAATAATTATATTGAACATTGTGTATGTCCGTACATGAGTATATTCATATTTAAAAAGTAATTTCAGAACTTATTTCCCCTTTTCTCTCTTCTTTATCATTTTTGTGATTCATTAATTTAAATATCTAATTTTCTGCCGAAACTGGCTACTCAAACGATAAATTGATATTCAATTCTTATACAAGGTTAGTTCTAGCTCGTACGTCAATATTTTACCATGCGATATGAGTTACCGACGGTAGTTGTAATTGGTCGAGTGGCGTGATATAATCTCGTGCATTTCCATATATACTTCACATGGTAAAATGCGAAATTAAAACCCTCCTTTCGCGATAGTTCAATTAAAGTACTAATTACAAAATATGCAAAGCATATTGTGGAGGTTAATGCAGAACCTTCACAATAGTTTTCTAAGCTTGAATTAAAAATCGTGCGATATTTCAATCTTTTTTTATAATGTTTGCATCAACCCTCGTAATATCTTTTTTATATTTTATAGTAATACATACTTTAATAAAAGTTATGTGGCAAAAGTAGTATGTAGAGGTTAATATGAAACAATGTAAAACAGATTAAAATACACTCGTCAGCACAATTATAAGTAAATTAAATTATAAGTAAATTATAGGTAGGCTAGTTGAACTTCGCGTATCGTGTATAATATGTGTGAGCTTGTCGCGAAAGGAAAAAGTGGGGTTAATGAGGAACAATGTAAACAAAACCAAAATATCAGGTACAGGATTTTTAATCTGAGTCAAAATCTTTTATATGAAAGCATTCTGCATTAAGCCCCACAATGTGCTAGAAGAAATAAGGCAAGTAAGAGCTGAATGTGGATGTTGAATGTGAATATTTAAATTACGGAAAGATAATAATGTTATACTTACCACGTTAAACCGATCTTGAATTCCAGTTTTTAATATTAATTACTCTCTCCTCTGTTACCTTATCCAATTATTAATATTTTACTTACGGAGATGCAATTGTTTTTGCACGTGTAAACTTTTCTTACCTATGCCTGTATTTACACAAGAGACTCTGGTACTCGAGACTACATACAGTCACTCTAATCCACAGATGCTATACTAAACTAGATTGCTAACAAGGGCTTCGATCATGTATCGTACCAGGTTTCCGGTTGCATGCGAGAAAATGACGGCGGCCTGTGTGTGTGACGTTGTGTGTGACGTGTCACTTGTTGAGTACTTACACGTACAATGTGAGTCAGCGTGGCCATTAAATTACTGTTGTAAAACCAGTATAAAATCAACATCGTAAAAATGCCAACATCGCATCAAAAAATGTCGTAACAAAAAAATAAATGGTATTGGACATTATTTACTCTGCTTATTTTCAACAAAAGAATTTTATGACTATATGTAGTGAAAATATGTGACGGTAGTGGCCATTTTCTTGCATAAACCGGAAACCTAATCGGATTCAAACCGTAACATGCTTTTATAGCATGTTCTACTGGCCCTGGGTTAATTGCTTCGAGAGTGATTAATAACGTCATAAGTCTCTATAGCCAATATTCATAGGCTACATTCCGAAATGTACTACCAGTACTGAAAATCTATAGTTCATGTTACGTATATTATAGAATTTCAGTACCGGCAGTGAATTTTGGAATGCAGCCATAGTCCGATCTTATTTCAGGACCGTCTTAAGTAGTTCTTAAGATGCGAATACGGCTCTGTGATTGGTTTATGACATATTAAGACAGTACTTAAGATGATCTTAAATATAAAATGAATAGACTATGAATACCGGCCTATTAACCAATCATAAAGCTTATAAGTACTTACTTATAAGTACTTTGGGTTTGCCCAAAGAATGTCTTTCAATTGCTTAACACATCTTGACATACACGTACTACACAAAACCAGTTTATTAGTCACATATTATCTAAAATATCTTGTAAGATAATATGCAACTAATAAACTGGTTTTAAATAATACAGTGTACGCAATTGAAAAGCACCGTCTAATTAGAGTAACTCTACTCGAGACCAATCAGTGGTACTATTTCGTTCCCGCATACCGACAGTTGTCGAATCGGTAAGCGTCGTTGCGCAGCTTTTATACCGTGGAAAAACTACGCAACGACACCTACTGATCCGACAACTATCGGAACCACGGTAACGGAATAGCAGCCCAGAAGAGACTCAGTCACGTGATTGCGTTTGTCACTGTTTCTATGAGACTCCACATCCACTTCTTCAGATGACGTATTAAAAGAAGTATCACAAATAACTGTTATAACGTAGCCGGTCTCAAGATACAGCAACATTAAAAACGAAAATTGGAAATTGAGCTATGATTGGCAAGCCTGTAACCAAGAAAGAGAGAGAGAGAGAGAGAGAGAGAGAGAGAGAGAGAGAGAGAGAGCAGTAACATTGATCATAGGTGTGACTAGTCAGCTGATGTGCAGTTATAAAGTCACGCGAAATCAACGTCAAATTTACTTTACTTTAAAGTTACGCTGACAAAATTTAATTTGCTCTAAAAATGGCATTGCACTCTGCGGCTAAAGGCAAACTTCTTGCAGTGATTGGTGATGAGGTGAATGTAATTCATATATGTACATATTGGATTTCTACCAGAACGAATTTTCAAGATCAAATATTCATCTAGACGTTGAAGATCAAAATCAAAGATAAATTCAATTAATAGGTATTGTTTTAGGATACGTGTGTGGGTTTCTTATTAGGCGGAGTCGGAGAGATCAACAAACATCGACAACCTAATTTTATGGTTGTTGATAAAAGTATGTATAGTAATCACACGTACTGTGTTTGCTAATTAAGTAGCCACATACTCAATATGAAAAGTAATATTCTTAATTAAAAATTAATGTTTTTTTCTACCAGAAATTGAACTTGTAACTATACCTTTTTTGTAATTTTTAAAACTCTATTACATGTAGGAAAATTCTGTAAAAACATTCTTAAGATTTGTGGAAGAAATATCATCCTTAGCATGTCATTTTGGTAAAATTGCTCTTCTATTTTGATAGTTGACAATTTATAGACGAAATTTTATATTTTGTAAGAAATAAATCATAAGTTTTTAATAAAAAATATTTATACAATGAATATATTTATTATTAAATACTATTATACACATGTGTAATTATATAATTAATGATATAAATGTATATTAATGATATAAATTAATGCTGCATCATGATGTTTATAGATACAGCAGTAAGCGAAATCGAGGATACTTTTAAGCGATTTATCAAACGTGATGACATCGATATTATCCTTATTAATCAAAATGTGAGTATTTGAACAAAATTAAATATTTATATGCTGTTCTAATGAATCTTTAGTATGCTTTAATCTGTTGACAATATTTAACATTTGAATCGAGACAAATAATATATTACAAGAACTGCAATAAGTATTTCATATCATGTATTTGGATAATGGAATTCAATTAATTATAACTTATGGCTTATTCATAGCTTTCATTTAAAGATAATCAAGGTACTACGCATATGTACGCACGCATATATATCAATAGTAACTTACATTTTGAAATTGTGATATTGAATATCGCAATGTTCGTCCAACTCACGAAAGATAATTATGCCACTTTTTCGCAAATACACAAACAATGTCCTATACTTCGTCTAATTTTACATTTAATGTTCTGTCATAGGTAGCTGAAATGATTCGTCATGTAATAGATAGTCACACTCAACCCATACCCGCTGTACTGGAAATCCCGAGCAAGGATCATCCTTATGACGCTAGCAAGGATTCCATTTTGAGACGCGCCAAGGTACGTCGAGTTTACGATCATTTATCAATCGCGGTGAACTACCGCTTAATTTTATTTGCAGTTACTTTTTATTATTTTCCTTATTCTTTTCATGAGATTTTACTTATTGCCTTTGTTATCCGCAGGGAATGTTCAATCCGGAAGATATCCATGCATAATGTGTGTACAGTACTAACTTTATTGCTAGCTACTCTACAGATGTTTAATAAACTAGAATTATTAGTTTATTGCATTCCACATCTTTATTACATTATGGTACATGTGATGTAAAATTATTGTTTGCATACTCTTATTGAGTAAAAAGAGTGATAAGTACAAAAAATAGTTCTGTCCGTTATTTTGAGTATGTATATGTGTATAATTAATAATCATTGACATGATTAAGCGACAAAACTTGTTTTTTATTTGCAAAATTTCACATCAAACTCCCTATATAATCCAGTTCATCAAAGTTGTCCATGACAATAAATTATTGTGTCATCTGTTTTAATGTATATTTTATTATATATTAGACTATTATAATATAATCAAAATCGAAGTAGTCTTATTATATTATCTCATAAATACTTCAGGATAACAGAAAGTTTAAATACATATATTTTTGCAGCAAAGTTCAGTTTCTGGATAAACTATACATTCGATTAATATTTATACTGTTTCTTTATAAAATATTTTATATATCTCATAGAATGATTTCAAACTGAAATATTCAATCCCACAGTTTAATCCATCTATCAAACGTGCTTCTGAATAAAAAAAAAAGTAGCCAAGTGGAACAAAGAACCAATATTGCTTGGCCAACGGCAGTTGCAAGTTTATGTACTTACCTCGAAATTATTGGTACAAGGTGATTAGTCAACAGCCATAACAGATTTTGTGTAAGAGGTGGACAATGTTAATCTGGAAAGTCGTGCATAAAAGTTGAAAATTCAACTTGCGAGAGATGATTCTGGATTTCTATAGCAAATAATGGAAACTTTGTATCTAATTACGCGAAACGATGACTTGTCGTTCATGCAGACAGAATAGTCGCTCTCAATTCACTCAGAGAATAAGTCCTACAAAATAATTATATATAATTTTAAAAGAACTAAATAAACGGTTGGTTTATCAATAGAAGAAAAACTCGAAAGACATACAAAATGAAATTAAAATTAAAAGATTAAAATCAAGAGTCGAAAGACATACAAAATGAAATTAAAATTAAAAGATTAAAATCAAGAGTATTCTCACGTATCCATAAACACGATGTAACCATTCCATTTGATATAATATTCATTGTGTCTGAATAAGTATTCTGTTATTATTTATATATACTCACATTTTACCACAAGAAAGTTTGCGTAGAAGAAGTATTATCTTATGTTAAATGACAATTGATGTGTAAAGAATAAGATTAGATAGAAGATAGAATAAGATTAGATATTTCTAGCATTATGATCTCTAAAGATTTAACTAAACTGATAGAATTATTCTTAAATGTAAAAATATCGAAAAACTGAAAATAGAAAAGCATATCAACTTTATAACAGTCCAGAAAAATTATATTGCTTTTTCAATCTAATTTCGATCCAATTTCTTGATTATTCTAAATTGGAATTGAATTGATTGGTGTTTTTATAACATAGTATTTCTTTATCAAAACACAATTCTTCAAATTTACAATTGTTTGCGAAAAACTCTTGCGCATTATTATTTTATAAATTTTCAGCATACAATAGTTGTCAACAGCCGAATAATATTTCTGTATAATCAATACAAAGAATATCAATATTATATGGCACACGAAATACATTTCTTTATCAATATTAAGAATAATAAAATGCATTTCTCATATCTATCTTACCAATATTCGTAAATCAGATCGTTATTAATATCCTTTTTACACCGATTTTTATGTGCAGTTTCTAGCACTTCATAATACACATAGCGTTTTACATTATTAGGATTCTTTAAATATATCTAAATTCTTTAATCTTTGGAAGTCTTTTCACTTAAATCCTGATATTTTTCTAATTTTTATAAATATGCAGATCACAAAATTTCTCGATCTCCTGGATCGTCTCGACAGCATCATTTCTTAACTTATTCGGTGGGATTTAATTTACAAATTTTATCACTCAGCTAATTAATTTCACGTTCCTCTTTCGCAGACAGAAATAACTTCTGTACAGTATGAGTAGCTTTAACTAAAAATACATCAAAGAATGTAAGTATAATATATAAATATTAGACTTATAGAACAAATTACATTTATGAAAAACAACAAACCATTGATTTTCTGGAACCAAGATGGCTTGTTTTCCCAAACGACCCCAAAGAAGTACGCGGGTATACCGGAGACAGTAATCAGAATACCCATTCCAACCTCGTACGGCCTCTCATAACAAGGTACGAGAATTAAGAAAGTGCATAATGCTACGAATACTATAGGTATCCATAAAGGGACCTGACAAAAAGATTTTCATTAATTTTAAAATATATATTAATATATATATAAATATATATTATAAATAAATATAAATATATATTAAAAAAAATATATATACATTACTTGATGAAACTTCGTATTCGAAGTAATACGTTATTACCTTGATCGGCCGTTCAATGTCAGGCCGTTTATAGCGTAGCCACAAAATTCCAGCCACAGAAATCGTAATAAAAAACGACTCTACTATGCTGCAGTATGTGATTAGTACGATGATATCGCTTGTGCATAGCATCACCAGAGACAGAATACACTGTGAAAACAAAAAGAACAGTTCCATGAGTATTTTAAGCATATTTAATTCGAAAAAGACTCCACGGATTCAACTCCAGAGCGATTAGCAAATATGTACCAGAAATACTAAGGCAGGTGTAGGCGACAATCTGGACATGTTGATGTGGCTCAACATCGAGGGGAAGTGACCATTTCTAGCACCAACAAAACACATTCTTGACGACGTCATTATGTGTACGCTTAATCCGCCGAAAGCCGACACAGCCACCATTACAGATATGGTCCAGGCCAAATATCCAAGTATTTGATTGCCGAAAGTCTAATAACAAGAACATTGGATTCTGTACACAAATGTCGAATGAGACAGATTCAATTAGCATATTATAATAAATTATGTTAAACTTCCTTACCACCGCGATAGCATTGGAAGCGATCATAGCTGTCGGCGTTAAAACCGCCAGATAAGCTACGTTAGCCATAACGTAGATAAAAGTCACTAACGGCAGTGATATGTAAATTGCGCGTGGTAGATTCCTAATAATGAAGCTCGGTTAAAGAAAGAAATATACGACAATATGACAATATAACAAATTTATCGTATTGGTTAATGGACATACTTATAAGGATTTTTTAGTTCCTCCGTCATGAAATTTAGATAATTCCATCCCGAATACGAAAATATGCCAGAATAAAATGCCACGGCGATCTTACCAGGACTGGAATTTGTGTTTTCGAAAATATTCTCAAAATTTTCTGTATGACCTAAAGAGAAAATCTTGATTTAAAAAAAGACATTCGTTAGATTGTTATAATATATCAATTACAAAAATTTACCTATACAAAGCCAGCTCAATCCAGCTATGATAATAATCACCAGCGCTCCAATTTTAGCAAACATAAATATATTCTGCATCTTAGAAGTTTCCTTCACATCATAGCAATTAATGAATGTGAGCAAGCCTGATAGACATTATGAATTTTATAAATTAAATTAAAAATTTTTACTATAAATCTATTATATATATACACACACACACACACACACACGCGCGCGCGCGCGCGAGATATACATAACATTGATGAACATTGAATTACACACACACGCACACACACACACAACTTTTTAATAGCTATATTCTTATTGACTAGGTGCAAACATCTCATCAATTTCAAAACTTTTATATGTATATTTAAATACTTGTTATATATATTTGTGTTTATTTTTGTCCAATTAATGTTGTTAAATTAATGTAGCTTTTAACAATACTAAATAAACAATATACTAAATAAACAACTTACATATACTCAGTGCAGCTATCAATCGCGCACAATCATCTGGAACACTACAGTTGGGAAAAAATGGTTTCAGGACATACTCAGCAACGGTTAATCCCATGATAGCATTCGTTGTTGGTCTGTAAGTGACAAGTATACCATTACAATATACTCTTCTAAATAATATGTTTAACTACTCAGAAAGTAACTCACACAAAAATTAAGTTAGCAGCCCATAAGTACAAGAATGAAGGTAATACACCAAAAGCCTCATGAATATAAGCATAATCTCCTCCACTACGTGGTATACTGGTACCTAGCTCGGCATAGCACAATGCACCCACCATAGAAAGCAAACCACACAGTATCCATATGATTAGAGATAGTCCAACACTGCCTACTTCTTGTATGACACCCTTTGGTGTAATAAAAATTCCTATAAATATATGCAGCAGAATATTATTGTAGCTTAGTATTAAGTTAGTTTGCATATGTATTGTGTGTGTAATTATAAAATACAAAAAGTTTTAAGAAATTAATTTTTATTTAATACGTTTAATTTTAACATACCTGAACCAAATATAATTCCTAATATAATAGCTACTCCTTCTAGAAGACCAAGCTGCTTTTTCATCTGCACCCTATCTACAGGTTTCTGTTGATTGTCAGTTTGCAATCGAATGGATCCTTCATCATCTGAGTTTATTAGTCGTATCTTGTTGGCAGATTCATCACATGTCTGATTTGCCATTGTTATAAAATAGTATCTTTACAAAAATATGAAATTTTGTTTAATTATCTTGCAATAAATTAATGTAAAGCTTTTTAATTAATTTCACAAAGTATTATACAAAGCAGCATTCCATAAGCAGATTATCATAAAGAACAATTTGTATATTAGATATGTTATATTACAGTTGTTTGCTTATATATCTGTAAGTAGAAAACTTTTATTTCTTAGAATGCAAAACTGAAACTTTGATACAAAATAACAATCATATATAAAGAAAAATATGAAAATATATAATTATGTAAAATTTACTAGAATAAAAAACTTGAAAACAAATGTCTTATTACAACAGAGAATAATCTTGTAATTGAAAATTCACAATTGTTATCTTATTGAAAAAAATTAATATTTATAAATGGAAATAGCGATTATAAATACAAGTTAGAAGCTGACAGAATTGTGAGTACAAAATATAAAACAAGCATTCTTAATTTGTAAATATGAACATGCAGTTACTTCTGATGAAATTTCTACTATGTACTTATTTCTCTAATTTTTACTTATGGGTAACTTGTCCTTGTAAAATCAGTTTTCCATGTGTTACTTAGACACATTTTCCTCAAATTTCATATTAAGTTAAACTAGGTTAAGTGGAATTTCAAACCACGTGCATGAGCATAAATGGAACGGAACAAACGAACTCAAATCAATAGCAGAGAGCAGAGGGTTTATTGTATACATAGAACTTAGGCTGCGTTCCTTTTGAGCCTTCACGCGCTGTAAGCGTCATTCTATCTTTATCGCTCATTAGGTGCGAAAGAAAGATAGAGTGACGCCATGGATGTAAAAATACATGGACGGAGCGAACTGTCGCGGGGGTGAAGCCCAAGAGTTGAGGGGAATGATTATATGTATTGTGGCTGCGTTCCGAAATTCACTGCTAGTACTGAAAATCTATAGTTCATGTTACGTATACTATAGAATTTCAGCACTGGCAGTGAATTTCGGAACGCAGCCTATGATGGCGACGATCGCTGTTTTTATACTTGGGCTTGTATTCTCAATTCTCTTTTAACGATAAATGAGCCTCTAAAAGAGGTTTAAGAGCCACCTGATTAGCTGAGAAGTTATATTTAAGGCACTTTTATCAGTGACGTATATACATAGATCAAGCATTGGTTGCGTTGTCGTTGATACTTGGACCGTAAGAAGAATCAATGACTGTGAATGATCAATTTGCTTACTGTTACGTTTTACTGCTTAAATTTTTGTGTGTGCCACTAGCCTTAGTATGAGTTAGTTTCACTAGGGCCGAAAAATATGATAGTCACAAGCATTTAGTATTTTCATGATTCATGACAATTCAATGCTGTCCGATAAATCGAATAGAGTAATGGCTCCTGCACACAGGACGCGGTAATGCTTGCCGCGCGGCGGAAGTTCGTACAACAGCCAATCAATATGCTGCTTTCCGTAATAACCTTCTAGCTCTTACGGAAAAACAATACGGTGGATACGGTCCCTAGACTAATGGCTAGAGGGAGAAACGCTGCGCAACATTTATGGGTGCGTTCAGATTCCTCATCCGGGTGCACTCTATTACTAGAAACACTATAATATATGTGACATATACTATAGCACTTCTAGTAATAGAATACACCTGGGTGGGGAATCTGAACGCAGCCTATAGCGGCTGTTGGACCGCACCCTAGATCTCTATAATGAATTTCAGTGTACACTTTTTACCTTAGTGCAGAAAGTTCAATTATAAAGAGCATGTGAATTAGTGACTTATCAGTACCGCTATGTATACATGAACATCATAGGTTGAATAGCGGCTAATTGTAAGTTTAAGGATATTTTAAAGGATAAAACAATAATTATTTGCTTACTTGATATTTCAAAAGAGAACTATTTGAAAAGGAAAGAAGTGATCACTTATAATGACTTAATAAATACTATATTTTCTAAAGATAACTGTTCATAAAAATATAAACTTCTATTGAATATAAACTATATACTGTAAGTAAACTAGTCTAGCAAAAATTGTAAATAAAGCATATTTATATTTGCAAACAAAAAGCAGTGAATAACTTGAATCAAATATATAAAACAAGGCTTATATATATCATATATGGAGAAAATCTCTTTTTTTTTGTAAAACTTATTTCTATATATTTAATATAATGATCATGGTGATTTTGTTAAATTAAAAGAAGAAGACTTTAGAAATTAATAATCAATACTATTTTAGGGTGTATTCCATATGTAATTCATATAGATGAAACCTTTCAACTGTTTTATGGAGATTCAACTATAATCTCAAAAGTTGCAATTATATGTATATAGATCAACTGACTAAACTTTCAAGATGGATCAGATGCTTCCTAGTCCAGGCTTCAGCATACCCAGCATTGGTACACCTCTGCATCAGCCAGAAGAGGACCAACAAATTCTTCCTAATGCTTTACAACAACAACAACAATCACAACAGTATCAGCTGCAACAGTTACACTCAATGAGTCCTAACATGCAGAGTAGTATGCTGATGATAACACCACAAAAAACTATGCATACATATGCACCAACTCCAACGTTTGCAACACCTCAGAGTCTTATGCAACCACAAACACCGGTAACTAAATATCAATATGTTAAATTATTTAGTAAATTTATCAATTTGGATAAAAATCATGCAACATCATAAAACATAAATTTTGTGTTACGTATTAATATTGCTCTCTACTATCTTAATATTATTTTTTATCTCGTAGCAAAACATGATGTCTCCAATAGTACAAAATAATCAAATAGCACCAGCATCGATAGGTCCTTCAACTCCAGGACCAATGACACCGATGACACCAGCTTCTGCTGACCCTGGAATATTACCACAATTACAGTAAGTTTATAGAGAAACTTGCCTATTACCACAATTACAGTAAGTTTATAGAGAAACTTATTAGTATGTGTTTTTTCTATTTCTTTACATGTTGTGGCTCTGCTTTATCTTAGGAATATTGTGTCTACTGTCAACTTAAATTGTAAACTTGATTTGAAAAAAATAGCGCTTCATGCTAGAAACGCTGAATATAATCCAAAAAGATTTGCGGCTGTCATTATGCGAATAAGAGAACCTAGGACTACTGCACTAATATTCAGTAGTGGTAAAATGGTTTGTACTGGTGCAAAGAGTGAAGCAGATTCGCGTCTTGCCGCGAGAAAGTATGCAAGAATTATACAGAAACTAGGTTTTCCAGTAAGTATAAGCAATTTATGTAATTAAAATATAACTGTGTTTGTGAATTAACTTTATATACAATTGGTAATTATAATATAAATTATTACTTTATTAATTTATTCAATAATTTATTCAATTGTTATTATTTTATAAATAGGCCAAGTTCCTAGACTTTAAAATCCAAAACATGGTTGGCAGCTGTGATGTTAAGTTTCCAATTAGATTAGAGGGTTTAGTGCTTTCTCATGGACAATTTTCATCGTACGAACCAGAATTATTTCCTGGACTGATATACAGAATGGTCAAACCTCGAATTGTATTGCTCATATTTGTTTCAGGGAAAGTAGTATTGACAGGTAAGTACATATATCTAAGTACATCTACCCATTTCTAACAATCCTACACTATTATAGCAATTTCATAGTAGTTTATAGAAGTCTTACATAATACTTTAAAAAATAGTCTTCAATTATCTGCTTTAAATTTAAACCATTACTATGTTAAAATTTTTATATAAATTTATGTTTATATTCTCATTATTAAAATCGATATTATCATATTTTTAATTTATTTCTGTATTTTTAATGGCATATTTATACGTCAAAAGTTAAAATGTAAAAAACAAAGATAAATATTAGAGCTTTTTAAATTTTTAGTTATTTGCATTTATTTTTAATTATTTTTAGTTGTATATTATTTTTATAGTTGCATTTATTTTTAGTTGTATATTATTCATACACATATGTATTTAGATACTTACAGTATGTTTATACATTTTCAGGTGCAAAGGTTCGCAAGGAAATTTATGAAGCCTTTGACAACATTTATCCAATTCTGAAAAGCTTTAAGAAACAATGATATCATTTATATAACGGTTATCTGTTTTTCTAATTTCCATTATTGAAATAGATGTTATAGATTGATTTATTTTTTTTTTCTGTAAATTATATCATGTAGGGACAAATTAGAATATTGCTCTTGCTGAATTGCGTGTAATTTTATTAAATATATTTTTATATGTTCTTATATATGCGCGCGCAGTAACGTGCATGTTGTGTGCATTGAATAAATTGTATACTATATTGTATACTAAGCGCGCAAATTTTTCATAGTCCGATTGATTATTTTTAAAAATTTATTACGTACGCACGCACATATCGTGTATACACACACGCATACACAACATGCTAAAGCACTGAGTATTTTTCATCACCAATTTTTTTATACATAAGCAGCGCGCGTGTATATGTGTATATATATATATATAGGATAAAGCACTTCAGAGCATTCTGTTATATAATGACATCAATGTTTATGAAGTATTAAACATTTATAATTATATATAAATAATTTCATTAATTAAAATGATAAACATAATTTATAAAGTATTTGTTCTCCACTTTTGTTCCTAGGTAACATTAATTTTAAATATATAAAGAATTAGTGGTAAGAAAATGCAACTTATGTAACCTTGTTACTTTTATAATTTTGCTTATCTTCAACTTAACTAGGTTTTCTTCAATTATTTAGTTAATGATTATTTGAGAGATACTTCAAAAATTTGCAACGTATATTATATCAAGGAAAAAAAGTGATTTTTGCAGTCCATTTTATATCGTAATTTTCGCAGAATTTTTTATCCTTGTTTGCTTTATAGACAATTATAACGCATAATTATAAAAAGAATAATGTTTTTCTTTAATAATAATTTGGCCTTAAGGCCAAATCACACTAACGATTGGCAATAGATGATTGACGATTGAAGATTGGAACTTGACCAATTGGAACAAAGCAAGCCAAGGTTGATTCATTAAGCTCGTTGATTCATTAAAATCTAATCTTTAATTGTCAATCGCCAATCGCTAATATGATTTTAGTGTGATAGTGGCCTTTAAGGCGAATGATACTTTTTTGATACGCTAATCGTCGCGAATGCGCGAATTGCATATCCAAGCTAACCACTGATACGCGCTGTAGTCATCGGCATGACCATAGACAGGAATATAGAGACGGAGTGTAAAGGCCATCACACACAAAATTACATAGACGCATATGCATACATAAGATCATATGGATCAATGAGCATCGAATATTAAGCATCAATCATCAATATAGCGACTTAATATTCGATGCTGATTGGTCCATACAATCTTATGCTATGCATATGCGCTATGTAATTTTGTGTGTGATGGTCCTAAGCTTATTTGCTTGGGGAATAAACTTAGGGACGGGGGTCCGCCATATTGTTGTGCCCACTTTTGATTGGTTGCAATTGCGCACATGCTCCTTGCCGCTTATTATGAATATAAAACATATCTAAGTATACAGTTTGTTAATTCAGTAAAAGATGAGTTAATAACTTTATTTTGAGATAATAAAAATGTTTATTGACCTTTGAAAAATACAAGTTTATTAAAAAAATGGCGTTGACTATTGGAATTGTCACAAGTATCTAATGCAACATAATGTAATCTTATTTTTATATATTTTTTAATAATAGCACGTATTAGGTGGATAACATGATTTTTAAAGATAACTGATCGTACGCATGCTGATTTAAACTGTGAAATACTTTGGTATTAATAAAGCCTATCAATACTTTATTTGAAAATAATATGTATTTTATAAGATTATTTTTACAAAGTTCTTCATATAGTATTAAAACACTTTCGATACAAATAAGAAAACCGCGATTTTTCTTCGACTATTAATCAAAAATTGTCCCGTAGGCATTTTCAATGTTAAAATATATGCTTTATATTCGTCTAATTTTTTTGTTATTGATTCTATGTTTTGTAGATGTATTGGTTGCTATAATTCTATTTATTTCATATTTTTCGAATTTAAAATATCAAACAAATTATTAAATACAAATAAAAATTTAATCGTTCCTTTGCAAAGTTGAAACTCTTTCAACATTAAATTATTTTTACAAAATATAAATGAATCTGCTATCGATTTACTAAAAATTTGAGCCGCTAATCTAACTTTTATTTTTTATTTCATATAATTAATATGTGCACTTCGTAACTTATTACCTAAGTGCATACCTTTATTTTGTTGTAAAAGATGTAACTGATTTATATATGACCATCGTATTTGTTAGTTGTCATTATCAATCATATTTTCCAAATCTCCAAAACTATTGCGTATTAATTTTAATATATAACAAGGATCTGGAAAAGCTACGATTTTTTCACTGGTCACAGGATGTGGAAAAGAGGTCTGCAATGAATGAATATTATCAAAATTACATCCTAGTTGCTTAAATACAGCAAAATTTATGATTGCTCCATCATACGTTACGGATACAATTTTCACCCCAGTTTCGTGCACAGCAGATAGATAGTTTCAATAAATTAGTTTTTTCTTGAGCTGTTACACCATTCACGACATAATAAACGATAAGCAGTTTCCATGCAGAGTTCTAACACATTATTAAAAAAACTAAAGCATAAGTTGCAAGAGTAGTATCAGTGGAAGCAATATTATTCCCTATGTTAACATAGCCAGAAAATTTTATGCCATCATACTCTACGTGTTGTCGGATATCCATTTCAAAAAGTAAAGCACCAAGTAATTGATCATTTATATTATTTACACGCTGTTTAATAGAATTCAACGCTTCAGAATTAATACCAGGATTTCCATCAAGACTGTTATACTAACGTAAAATTGTTTTTACATGTGATAAACAGAAATCAAATTGACTACGAACATATTCATAAGCTCGGGGAGAATAGTAATGCAAAGTTAATGCAAAGGATCGTAATTGTTCGTTATATTGTTTAGATAAAGGCTGAGTACAAGGCTTTTTCTTAACTAATCATTCAAAAAGTTTACCATTTGATTCACTCAATGTATATAACATGTCAACTTGTTCTTCATTTAATCATTTTCATTTAAACATCTTCTTTTCAGAGTTTCTAATGTATCCTTTAGTTTGGTGATTTGATTATATTTACGTCGTAGATTTTGTTGTAAATTTTTTACTTTTTTTGCATTTTTTTCTTTAATATATTTTATTTCTTGCCTCAATCTACACTTTTCTGGAGAGTTATAAATTAAATCTGATGAAACCATTGTTGCCTTGTCTGCTTTAGATATTGAAGATTGCACTAAAGACATAATATATCAGTTATAACATCTTAAGTAGTAATATATATAATATATTAGTAATATACATACATATATATATATATATATATGTATGTATATTACTAATATATTACTAATAATATATATATATATATATATATATATATATATATATATATATATATACACAATCTTTATTATTGCTAAATTGCCCTTTCTGTTAATAATTAAAGTATAAAATGTTAATTATGTTTTGTTAATGATATTAAAATATAAGATGAATTAAATGATTATTAAGTTATTACCTGTAGAGTCATT